AAATGGCATTATTTCACTCTTTTTTATGGCTGAGTAATATTCCATTGTATATATGTACTACATCTTCTTTATCCATTCATCTGTTGTTGGACATTTAGGTTGTTTCCATGTCTTGGCTATTGTGAATAGTGCTGTTATGAACATAGGGGAGCATGTATCTTTTTGAATTCTAGTTTTGTCTGGATATAGGCGCAGGAGTGGGAATGCTGGATCATATGGTAGTTCTATTTTTAGTTTTCTGAGGAACCTCCATACTGTTTTCCACAGTGGCTGCACCAACTTACGTTCTGGGGGATCTTTCTGGTGACAACTATAACTTAACTGTCTATAGTGACAACTATAACTGTCATGTCTAGTGACAGCCATGGGCTTAAAGCTCTTTAGGGGCTCCCGTGTCCTCTGGACCACACCCCTCCACCCCCCTGCTGGCCCATCCAGCCCTGGAGAAGGGGCTGCAGCCCCCCTTTGCTTGCAGCAGGGATGGAAGGGCCCTGGGACTGGAGGAGGAGGTGTGGACGTAGAGGGGTGGATGGAGATCCTACAGATACACAGAAGCCACAGGGTAGATGATGCCCCCTGGAGGTATGCGACGGAGCAGACCTGGGAAGGGGGCTGCCTTCCTGAGCAAAGGGGGTTTGGCAGGGGCTGGAGTCCCCTGTTGCCTGTCAGGGCTCATCTGGCCCAGCCAGAGACTATGGGGCTGAGGCCTCATCTTACCTCTGGGGAGTTGCTAATGATGGTCTTTAATGGCCTTGCCTGGGAAGGAATGACCTCACCGGGCCACACCCTGATGAGAGGAGGCTGGAGTCAGAGGCGGGCGGCTCCTCCATCACCGTGAGACCTGCTTGGGCTTGTCTTGTCTGAGGAATGAGAGGGCAGTGTGTGTGCGCTTGTGTATCTGGTCCTTCACGTGGCCAGAGGGAGAAGGCTCCCAGCCCGATGGGGGAGGCAGGACCTGGGTGAAAAGTCTCAGGGCAGCAGGGTGGGGAGGCCTTGCTTCTACTCAGCATCTCTGGCTTCTGTTAAGGGTTTGGGTGTGGGTGCTGGTGTTCCCTGCCACATCCGTGCTGAGGCAGAGGGTCTGCCCGCTGCACACATAGTATCCGGGGGCAGGCCTGCGTGTACCAGGTGGTGGCAGCAGCAGGGGTGGGAGCAGGTTCCAGCACAGGCTTGCTGCCTGCCCCCGCCCTGCCCCATTCATCAGGGATGGCTATGTTTGCACTCTGGGGAGGGGTCCTGTGGAGGTGGCCCCTCTCCTGAGGGCAGCCTCCCCCTCCCGCGGGCTCGGAGCAGGAGCACTCTAGGGAAATGTTCATCTCTTTTGTGGTGTCCTTGTCAGACCCCCTTCAGGGTGACTCCTCCACGGTGCTACAAGTTCTTTCTCGTGTCCAGCCTTAGTCACTCTTGCTGTTGCGCCTGATTCATTTATCAGAGGACAAGTTGAGGGCCCCATTATCCTGCCACCCAGTCTGACATCACTGAACTTCCCTCGGGCATGTTCCCACTACTGGGACAGCCCAGTCGGCACAGGAAATGGCTGCTGGATGAATGTGCAAGTGAGTGAGTGACTGAATGAGTGGCTCAGATCCTCCTCCCATGAGAATGCTGAGAAGTGGCTAAGAAGTGGATGAGGGGGGCCTGGGGGCCTGGGCTGAGATGGAGACAGAAACGGGGACCCAAAGGGAGGCAGAAAGAGGGTCAGGAGGAAAGAGATGGGACTGAGGGCACAGAGATGAAGCAGATGCAGCCGAGAGCCAGGTGTCCTCGAGCTCCACTGGCATCCACGGCCTCAGCCAAAGATGGCCTGGGATGGACAGGGCCCATGGGGGGGACAGCACGGCCAAAACAAGGTGGAATAACAGGAGCTCAGAGTGAGGGACCATGAGACAGGAACCTGGGACCCAGGGTGGGGACAGCAGTCCAGCATGACCTAGACCAAGGTCAGAGCCACCCAGCCATGACCTATCCCTCTGCCCCCATCAGAAGGAAGCTGCAGGGAACCTCAGCCAGGCATGGTAGTGAGGTGGGAGTTTCTACAGATGAGGACGAGGGTCAGAGGCCACCTGGCCTAAGGTTGCATAGGAGGTAAGGCCCCTCGGTGCTTGGCTGGAGGGCTCAGGAGGAGACTGCTGCTCCCACCCCCGAGCCTGTGCTTGGGCACGGTGGCACTGCCAGGCACTTACTCGGCCTGTCGAGGGCCCAGCCCCCCCGCCCAGCACCCGCGGGCTTCCCCAGCCCTGGCCGAGGGCAGCGAGGGAACAAAGGTCCAGTCTCTGCCTGCTCAGGCCCCCACCCCCTTGCCCGCCCCTGGCACAGAAGGACCAGGGCCCTGAGGGAGCCCAAGAGCCAAAGCAGCCCCCGCCCATTTGCCGACACTGAGAACCCCCTTCCTCCCCCTCCCATGGGCCTGCTGGCCGCACTGCAGTGTCCCCCCTTCTAGAGATGGGAAGGCCGAGTGAGAGGGCTGAGGAGCTGGCAGCCACACAGCTGGGATTCGAGCCCACCTAGCCCTCCTCATATGCGTGAGGGTGTGACTGTTCCCATTGGATATAACTCATGGGGAGAGATGGGGCAAGGACAGAGACGGCAGAGCCTAGATGGCCCAAAGGGGAGTGCTGGGGAAGGGGCTGAATTGCTCTCACTTTTCCGGCCCCCACCTACCTGCCACCCAGGGCCAGTCCAGTGCTGGTCACAGCAGAACGGATAAAGCCAGTGGAGAGGCAGAGATGGGGAAACGGAGTCAGCACCCAGGTCCCCCTAAGTTCATGACCGCCCGGGGCTCACTCAGTCCAGCCAGAGGTGAAGCCCCTGCGGAGCTTCCGTTTCCCCATCTGTAACATGGGGCTGTGGGGCCCACTGGGGGCCTCGCTCCCCAGGCCACGGCCATCATTCTTCAGGACCCTTGCCTGCGCCCTGCTCCCCCCAGGGCCTGGCCTTACGCCTCCAGAGGGGCCTGCATGGAGGGCTGACGCTTATCTGCTCTGGAGAAGCTGGGCACAGCCTAGCCCTCCCTGCAGGCCCAGGTCCAGACCAGGAAATGAACATCAGGTGTTCATCATGCCCGAACGTGAAAAGCACTGGGTATTTGGGTGTGACTGGCTCCACTGTACAGATATGGATACTGAGGCTCAGGGAGGCTGAGGGACCTGTCTGAGGCCACCCAGCTCCTGAGGAGCAAAGCAGGGCTGACCTGCTCACTGACCAGGCTTCATGTCCTATAGGCATCCCAGGGACAGAGGGGGAAGGAGGGAGGCTGATAAACACACCCCATGTCCCGTCCACAAGGGTAGCAAGAGAAAGGGTCAGGGCGCCGGGGCCACAGGGGGGCAGGTCAGGAGCCTGGAGCGCTTGGGCAGTCTGGGCAATGTCCAAGTGGACAGCCTTGGGCGGTTCTGGGCGAGCAGGGGCTCAGTTCTGTAACCTTGGTCCATAAAACCTCTCCAAGCCTTGATCTGTTAACCAGTGGGCCAAAGCACATGGAGAAAGCCCAGATGCCCCTGCCTGCCTGCGCCTGAGGGGCTGGGGAAATGCCCACACCCCAGCCGCTCCTCCCAGCTTTGGGCACCTCCAACCAGTCAAAGCAAGTGCCCAACAGGCCCCAGGCAGGATCAGGCTGCTGCCTCTCACAGAGCAGGCACTGGGATACTGGCCACAGTGCCCCTCCTCACTGCCTCCACCCCTGGCCCTTATCAGACACAACTCGTTTTAAAGAAAAAATAATATTTATTTGCAATATAAACAAAGTCCCGTTGCTGGATCGGGATATATATATATGTATGTGTGTGTATATATATGTAGGGTCACAAATTTTCCTTCATAAGTTCATAAAGCAAAACTGGCCACCCTCTTGGCATACCCTCATTTACACAAATCTGATGCATCTTTCTGGGTTTTTCTTTTTAAAGGTAAAAAAGAGAGAAAGAGAACCATGTACAGCATGGAAGCTTTTTGTCAATTTCTTGACTGTGGCAAGATTTTAATCTGCTGCCTTAAAGAATCCCTGAAAACCACCCCTGTGAGGTAAGATGCAGTGGGGGCAGAGTTTCCGTGGCCTTGCTCACATGCTGAGTGCTGGCTCGCTCAGGGACCCCAGCCCGACTGCTCACCCCTCCCCAGGCCCCATGCAGTCCTGACACCTGGGAGAACTGAGGTTGGAGAAGGAACAAAACTGGAGGAGGATAACGGAATCCGTGGCTTTGTTCTGTGGATATGGGGGTGGAGAGATGGACAGAGCCTCACATCCCTTTCCTTGTCCATCCTCGCCACCCACCCCTGCCCTGGGATTGAAATGGGTGCGAGTTTCTTAATAGAAGGCAGGGGCAAGATGAGCACAGGGCAGGCTCTCACGGGTCGAGGGGGCTGGGAGTGGCAGCTGAACCAAAGTAACAACCAGGGTGAGGGAAGAGACTCGGGGGAGGCAGGGCTGGGTGCCACCACCTACGCGCCCCCAGCCACTGGGCCTGCACCCTCAGCTACAAACAGAGGAAGAAACAAGTAGTGGGTACATATAAAAAGGGCCTGGGGCCCAGGCCCCCCTCGGGGCTGAGCCCGGAGGGTTAATGCTACTGCGTGGCAGCCCCCTGTGGCCCCACCTCCAGCAGGACAGTGGCAGGGCCTCCCTCTGCTGCCTGGGGCAGTTGGCAGGGACCACCAGAAGGGCAGTTGGGTGGGCAGAGAATGCAAAGGCCACCTGTCCAGCCCACCACTCACCACTCGCGGCAGTCATCACAGGCAAATGCAGCGCCAGGTCGGGCTGGGCCGAGGTGGGAGGTGTGGGCAGGCCTGGGAGTCCAAAGCTGGCGAGAGCAGCAAACCACCCCTTTAAGGGCCGCTGCGGAAACGGAGGCTTCACACATGTGCAAAACGCTTTTGGTCAAGATCAACGCGGGGTTTGTCTTTTCCATTAAAAACAAAAACCCAAGAATTGCTTTTTGAAATAAGAAAAACAAACTGATAGCACTTCTCTCTCTCTCTCTCTCTCTCTCTCTCTCTCTCTCGCAGGATCAAGAAAGGGATGAAATACTGGTTTATACAATCCACTGTTGCATGTAGCCTGAAAATAACACTTTTCATTAAAAAAGAAAAATCAAGAAGAGCTTGAACTCTCTCTGCTCCAGGGAGCTCGGATTTACCTGCCAATAATAAAAAGTAAACTCAGGTCCATGGATGTGTCTTTAAAAAACAAAATAGCCAAACTGGCTGGGCCATCAGCAGAAAGGAGTGTCCTGGGACAAGGACGAGGCCCCACTGGACTCCCAAAGCCACATGTCTGAGAGCTGAGGGCCCCTCCGGAAAGTCCTGCTGGGGGAGGCCTGGCTGTGGGCTGCACCCTCCCCGGGACGGTGAGGGAAGCTCACCTCTGGGCACAGGCGATGTCCGGGTTCCTCACGCCAGAGGCAGCAGGCGTGGGCCCTCCCTGCGGGCCCTGTGGAGGCCCGGGAGGGGCTGGCCCGTTGCCCCGTGCCCCCGGCCTCACGTGGACTCGAGCGTGTTGAGCGGGAACAGGTTGTGGTTGGTGGGTGTGGAGAAGTAGAGCTGCTCGCTGGGGGTGTGGTTGTCACACGGGCTGCTCAGCCCCAGCGTCCGCTCGAAGTCCAGCAGCTGCCCCATAAAGTTGAAGTTGGGTGAGATGTTGGACTTTTTCCTCTTGACAAAGTCGTAGGCATCATTGAGCGACAGGTTCATCTTCTGCATCAGGTAGGCCACCGTGACCGTCACCGAGCGGCTGATGCCTGCCAGGCAGTGCACCAGGACACCGCACTTCTTGGAGCGGGCCTCGTCTGAAACACACAGGCACGGGTCAGGGCAGCACCTCCTCCAGGGAGCCACCGCAGGTGGGGCTGGGGGCAGCATGGTGACTGGCTGGTGCCTCCCGACTCTCGAGTGACCTGGTGAAGTCCCACGCGGGTGGGACAGCAACTTGGGGTCGAGGTCAAGAGCATGACTGTGGAGAGGGCTCTGCCACACAGTAGCTCCAAGTCACTGGACATTCCTGCGCCTCGGTCTTCTCCAGTCAGAGGGCCTGCTTACTCACAGTGCTCTTAGAAGGACGTGAGCCAAGGGAGGGTGCCACAAACACTGTGATCACTGCTAGTCCTACTGCTGCTATAACCGTGTGCTACTACATGCCAAGGTGTCACCTGCATCCTCTCAGGTCATCTGCACCATGGCTACCAAGTTAACTTTATAAATGAGGACACAGGCACAGAGACCAAGTGATGAGCACAAGGTCACACAAAGGTTCCTCCTAACTCGTAGCACTCACCCCTGCTAGCCCACGACCTGGGGCTCAGGGCTGAGCTTGCTCTCCTGGGGCAGCTTCCATGGGTGCCCCCGAGAGCCTCCTCGGAAGCAGGCCTCATGGAGGCTCCTCCACAAGGGAACGGCAGGCAGCACTCAGCTCTGCCCTGGGCCCAGCCAGTCCCCGGGGCCTTAGTCCTGCTCCGGAATAGCCAGGGACTGGGACCAGGTCCACACCTAGTTTCACAAGTGGGGTTTGCTTATGTGGGGCCTACCCAGACCACTTACTAGACTTTCCCTGGCCCATGTGCCAGTGACATCTCCCACCACAGCCAACCAAGTTCTGCCAACTCTCCCCTCCACACTCCTCCCAGATTCCCCCAGTGCGGTGCTCAGACTCCTATGCCTGACAGGCAGTAGGAGCTCAAATACCGGTTGAGCCACCGGCCAACTCAGTCCTGTAATCTCTCCTCCCCTAGACCCGAGCACAGCTGCATCTCTGTGCCATAGCTGTGCCAGGGGCACAGATTAACAAGAGGCAGGCCTGGGGTCCCCAAGGTCCCCGCCTGAGCTCACTGGGAGCCAGGTACACTCCTTCAAGATGCACTCCTACAAAAGGCCACAGGTTCACAAATTGTTCCTCATATGGCGCTCACTGCCTCTGGCCTGGCAGGACTTCCCTTCCCTAAGCCCACATGAGGGTTCCCAGGGCAAAGCATGCAGTAGGTGCTTAATCCAGACTCGGGGACCAACTGGGGGCCAGGCCAGCGGGGGAAGAGACCGATGTCATGGATTCACGTGGAACCACGCTGTCTGACCTTTAGATTTGGGGCAGGAGAAGGGGGTAGTGGAGACAAGCCTCCAGTGGTGACACATCAAGATAAGGGGAAGGCCTGGTCCCCAAACCCACTCCTGGGTGATCCAAAGTAAAACCACTTCCACTGGCTTTATTTTTAGCCCTCTAAGGGTGTGGCTGAGCCTTGGGGGTGCTGGTGCTTGATCTTGCCCCACTGAGTCCTATGGGATGCTTGGGCTTCAAGTCCTTGACTTGTCAAAAAGGGAGTATGGTTCCTCCCACCTCTACACCCTGTTCTGTCCCCCTCCCCAGATGTAAAGGGACCTCCAAGAAGGATAAAAACACCTACAAACCAGGCCCAGCCCTGGGACATCCGGGGGCCCCCTCTTCACTGGGGAGAGCACAAATGTTGAGGCAGCACCCATAGCCCTCTGGGCCATGTCCTCCCAAGCAGAGGTGGGAAGCTCTGGATAGCCCCACACACAGCCCCTCCCCCAGGCCTCAGCTTCCTTCCTTCCTCCCAGCCAGGCACCTACTTTTGGTTCCCAGTTAGCGGATGAGGCGGGGAAGCCTCCCACTTCCTGTTATTAACGCGAGCCCAGCCCAGCTGAAACCAAAACGCCCTCCACTGGACATAGCCGCCAGAGGGAAAAGACTGCCGGGCCACCCCCTCCCTGCCACCGGAGGCTGGACAGAACACTGGGTCACCAGGCTCGGAAAGCCCAGGGTTTACATTCACCCTGATCTTGTGTCCCTTTCCTGAATCCTGGGTGACAGCTGAACCCAAAGACGACCTGCCATCTAAACAGCCTCCAGCTGGCCAAGGAGAAAGCAGGATGGGAGGTCAAAGATAAGGAACCCGAGTCAGCTGAGGCTGCGGATGCAGGGGTCTCAGAGGGCGCTAAACCAGACAGCAGAACACACTGCTCTGGGGAGGACTTCCTCAGCCTCTCCCCATACTCTCTGACTACCCCCTATATGCCAAGCAAGCCCCACAGGCTGCCGGGAGCATCTGAGGCCCCGCCGAGGCCCTTTGGGTCATCACGTTCCAACAGCTGCCAGTTTTGGGTAGGCCTCTGGCTCCAGGCCACACTTTAGCCCCCTCAGGTACACAGTAAAGCCCAAAGAGGCTCCATGACAGCCCCTAAAGCTGTCATGCGCTGAAGCGTGACGCAAAGCAAGCAAGACCCGTGGGAGGTCTGAGAGCTGGGATGTTTCAGCTTGCTGAGCCTGAAACAGCGCAGCCAGAAAAACCCAAGCTGGACAGCAGAGCCCACGAGGCTCCAACAGCTGCAGGGAGCCTGGGAGTCGGGGGACTGCTCAGGCCCCGAGGGCCTCAGTGACTCACAGTGGGCCTGGGTACACCCATGGGCACACGCGGGCACATGCAGGACACACACAGGTCTTGACAGGCCCAGAGATACCCAGCCAGGCACGGGCAACACCCAGAGTCCCATACACACCTTGATGCGCAAGCCCACACACCCTGCCCGAAGCGCAGCAGCACTTACCGATGAAGCTGATGGCCTCAGGGAAGAACTGGGAGAGGTTCTGGCTCCAGTGGTCAGAGATGGGGATCTGCTTGTAGGTGAACTCGCCCCCGTGCTCGAAGGCATTGGGCAGGTTGGGCGTGACATTGAGGATATACTTGATGCCGTACTTGCCGAGCACATCCAGGTTGGTGGAGTCCTTGGCGCAGCCGAGGTAGAGGTAGGGCAGGATCTGGACGGGGAAGGCCGGTTGGCTGGATGGCACAGGGCTGCCGTCTGACTCGGTGGCACTGCTGGGCAGCTCTCTGTCCGACTCACCATCTGAGCAGTCAGAGCTGATGCGTAGGCCCCCCAGACCCAGCACTGAGGTGGGCGGTGAGCCGCTCGGCGAGGACGAGCTATCCACGTTGGTCTCGCAGTGTTCTGAGTACTCTGTCTGGAACTTGTTGAAACCACCTGTGGACAGGATGAGACAGGGCCTGGATGAGAGACTGACGATGCCAGTGCCCCCAGACCAAACAGGCTGCACAAGACCAACAGCAGCCAGGGTTCCCCACGGCAAGCACCGTAACACCAACAATGGACAACACGGGCGGTGCTACATATTTACACATGTAGCTCCTCCTGTTTTCTCCACAACTATCCTATGATCCACTTCACAGACGGGGAAACTGAGGCCCCAAGTGATAAAGTAACATGCTTGAGCTCCATGCCCTTACCCATAGGGCTTCAGGGCCCCAGCCATACAACCAGCTTTAGGGCACTTGAGGACAGACTCCAGCTCATTCCTCTTCCACAGCTCCCATGTACACCTGGCACCCATGGGTGCTCAGTAACTGCTAAGCGGTAAAGGAGAGCAAACCACCCCATCTCAGGCCAACACCTGTGGGTTTGCAAACCCCTCTTATAGATGAGACCGCAGGGGCCAGAGCTGCATCTGGGTCAGCTAGAGGCAGAGAGCGCCTGGGCCCCCAGACTGGGAATCGGGTGCTTGAGCCCCACTCTCAGCCACGCGGGAAGTAGTGTGAAGGTGTCTGTTGGCTCTTTCCCACGGCAGGGGCAAGTTCATAAAAGGGGGCCCAATTCCACCTCTCTAGAACCCACCCCCTTATAACACCAAGTCCCCCCGAAGCCTTGGACCCACAGAAGGGGAAGCTGCTGGAGGCTTTACAGGGACAAGAAATGGGGAGCGCCTTGCAGCTAAGGATGGGCCCTGCGCCCGAGGGTGCCGCAGGCCTCCTCTCCCCTCCCGCCTGCCCGCCCCGCTGCCAGCAAGAGGCCATTTTGGAATGTTAATTGGAAACACCGGCTGCAGCCACTCGCCTCCCAGAGCTGCCTCCCCCTTCCACAATCTCTGGGGTGGCAGGCTAAGGACTTGGGGGTCCCAGAAAACCAGAGCTGGGGCAAGGAACACTGCTTACAGCCCTGCCCCAAGCGCCTCCAAGAGGCGGTGATTCCCAAGTGATGAGACCCACGCGGGGATGCCCGGAGTCCCCCAACCCAAATGATCCCTATTCCCTGGCGGGGGCGGGGACGATTATAAAAAGCTCCTGTCCTAACCGTGGCCTTCCAGGAACACGCATTCCAGGCTGTAGGAGCTGAACTTGGGTGCCCAGGAGGGGACCCTCCCTCCCTTGAGGGGCTCACGGGGAACCTAGGAGCTGCCATGGCCCCAGCAACACGAAAAAAGGAAAGCCCAGGCGGGGAGAAGTTTGTTCGACCCACTTAGATCGTGCCCAGAAAGGGGTGTAGAGGAGGCCTGCGTGTCAGCCTAAACCCGCACAGCTGGGGCCGGACGCCCGGGAGAGGAGAATGCGGGCCGGGGGCGACGTGGCGCCGGCCGGGCAGGCTGGGCACGGGGAGAGAAAGCGGCCTCCGGCTGGGGCACCCGGGAGCCGCGGGAGAGCCCCAATCCCAGACAGGGTCTCGGTGCTGCCCTCACCTTGGAGGTAGTAGGCCTGGCAGCCGTCGTCGCGCAGCTTTTGCAGGAGAAGGCCAAGCACCGAAGCGGGAGCGCCAGGCTCTGGCTGCCACTCGGCCGTGGCCTCGTCGTAGAGCAAAACGGTGGCCGCCTTGCAGCGCGTAGCGAAACGCTCCTTGTCGGCGTGGTTGGGGATGATAGAGCGGATGGGCAGGTTGCCCTTGCGCAAGCGGCGCAGCATGAGGCCCGGGATGGCCAGGTTGATGGCCGTCTCGATGTGCGACGACTCGAAGAGCTCGTGCGGCCGGCAGTCGAGCAGCAGCAGGGACGCGCCGCCGCGCGCCTCCAGCTCCTCCTGCAGCCACTCGGCGCTCTTGCAAGGCATGGCCCCCGCACCCGCCGCCGCGCCTGCCCCGGTACCGGCGCCGGAACCAGACCCCGCACCGGGCTCCGACCCCGCCCCGGTGCCCCCAGCCGCCGACGCCCCCGAGGCCGACATGTGCGCCCGCGCTGGGGGGCCGCGGAGCTGGTTTTTCATGGGGAGCGCGGGCGGCCCGGGGCCGGGGCCGGGCAGCCCTGCCCTGGGACGGCGCCCCGGCCGCGCGGGCCCCAGCCGCGTCTCCGGGCGCCCGCCTCCCGCCGAGCTGCACGCCCGCCGCCCCGGCCTCCCGGCCTCCGTCCCGCCCGGCCCTCCGCGCGCGCCGCGGCCTGACAGCCCCAATTAAACGGCGTCTCAGACGGCCGCGCGCCGAGGCGTCCTCCGGTGGGCGGGGCCGCGGCACCGGCGCCCGAGCTTAAAGGCGCCGTACCTCCGCCGCCCCTCCCCACGGGGTACGCGAGCGCGCGAGCGGTCCCGTGTGCCCGGAGACCTGCGCCCCGGCCTTCGCCCCGCTTCAGCGCTGCCGCCGTCTCGCCTGGCCCAGAACTGATTATGACTCGCCTGGGGGCCCGGCCAAGACCCTCTCGGGTCCCCTATCCCGCGCTCCCAGCTCTTCTGTGCCCTACCCTGAAGGGCTGCCCTGGGGGCGTCCTGCGCGTGGCATCCCCTTCACGGAAGCAGAGTTTCCCCGGGGATGGGGTGGAGGGAAGGGGCAATCAGGCTGAGCCAAAGCCCCCTCCTCCTGTCAACTCCATTCATTCATTCCCAGCGAGTTCATTCAACAAATGGAAATTGAACGCCTACTACGTGCCATGACCTGTGCTTAGGCGGTCACCGTTTCTGGCAACTTGCATAGTCCCAATGAGGGCTACACGCTTGAAGACCTGAAGGTAGTCTCACCCCAGCAGGCCTGAGGGGAGATCAGCACTTAGGCAACTGGCGGAGTAGGACGGCCCAAGGCCGTGCCACCCTCCACGGGCAGGGGTGAAGAAATCCTGAAAGGACCTGGGAAGAGAGAGCGAGCCCTTTAAGGAAGCTTCCCAAGCGGGGTGGTGACAGGCTCCGAGTGAAGCGCCACGTGACTTTTCCACAGGAGCGGGTGCTGGGGATGGGGGGGGGGAAATCCTCTTTAATCGGCTTTCCTCCTCCCACCTCCCAACGCTCCAATCAACTTTCGTGGTAGGCGGGAGTGCGCCACGTAGGTGGCCAATCGCGGCCAAAGGAGACGGTGGGGCGGAGAGAGGAAGGCGGGGCCCGCCGAAAGTTCCACCCAGCGCAGGAAGTGGGCGGGGTCTCAGCGAGCGCTGTGTATCGGCTCGCAGGCTGCCTAGGCGGAGTAGGTGAATGGATCCGCAGGTAGCGCTGGAACAAAGCGGCTCGACTCGAACGGTG